GGGGGGCAGGACGGGGCCCTCGCCCGTGGCACCCCCTCGGAGCACCTGCGAACAGCACTTTCCCTCAGGAGAAGGGAAGAGTCGATGGAATAAAACCAACTTCAGCCGCCCAAATCAGGGGGGAGAAATAAAATCACAAGTACCTCTTGGGCTGTTTTCTGAGTGCGAACGGACAACACTGACATCTACATCGGCAAACAATCGGAGGGTGTATATTTATTGGAAGGAATTAATTTGAAATGTTCGAGACTGAAAGATGAGAAAAAATATTTCCCGGTCAGTTTTTCCCTCTGAAACTTAGTCGTGTCAATAAATCGTAAAAGAACGGTGCGAGAAAACACTTCAGCCGTTGGCATAGCTTCAAAAATTGTTTTGAAATGTTGAGTAGATATTGAATACTTGAATGGTTACTGGTCCGACAACATAAACCCGAAATAAATGAATTCCCTTGCTGTAACGCCAACTAGCCTTTAAAAGAGCAATTGAGTCGATTTTAATTTTACAGCGATATTGTAGATAAAACGCTTGATTGCGATAACAATGCACCTTGTATTATTTCTTTTCTGTTATGATAAAACGGGATCTAGGCATATATGTGTGAGTGTATGGGATTAATCACTCTGAAAAAATATTTTAAAAACAGACACTCAATAAATATGTACTTTCGTGAGCATGTTCGTGACAATTTTAATTCGTGAGGAAGCAAATTATCCTCACATAAACATGGGACAGAAAGTTCTCTCGGGAGGCATATAGATGCATATATTCTATATATTAACATATATATCATTAATATGGTTTTGTTTCCAGGGGAGACAAGTGGAAATATACACAACACACAATGACCAGGCGAAAATCACACCACAATGGTGCACAGAGTGACCGGGGTACGGAATGTACACGTAAGTCCTCGCAAAACTCCCACGCTGCAATATTGTGTTAGGAAATATAGGAGAATGGTTAATAGCTAAAATAAAAATGCAATTAGTTTGATTATTTAAATGTCAAGGGCGGTGCTGCAGAATGGGTCATTTTTTTCTCTTAATGCAAACCCAGGCTTCTCAGCTACTAGCAAAGGCAGAGTAATAACTAAAAAAACAGATTGTACATTTTCTGCGATTTGCAGTCTCGAAAGGTCTTTTTCAGCGGGAGAAAATAATTGAGGGAAGAGAAGAGTGGAAAACGGGAGGCGATAAGAAAACCTGCCTTTGTTCTCTCCGGTTATTTTCTACTAATTATTCTGCCCATTGTGACAAAGTAGCAGTTAAGGATAGATTAGTGTAAATA